CATTTTATAGTTTTTACCTACCCTTGCTCCATAGCTTTACATACTTTACTATATACAATTTGTATTTGTTTATTTTATATGAGGATACCCGCACCACACCTATAATTTGAAGAATTACCTCTGCACTTGATCCATAGGCGGGGATTATTCTACCCAGACGCATACACTGGAGCTGTATTGAAGCTCCAGGAAAGTGTGAATGCACATCTTTTATTTTACCTACCACCCCTACATTTTTAAATACTACACTATTCTTTATTCTCTGGTTCTCTTCACGTATACCTTGTCAAGGATTACTGGAGCGCATGTGTAAATAGCCTTCCAGTGCTGTCTTATAGAAAAGCATTGGATTGGCTGAGATCATCTAATTTTATGATCTCAGCCAAGGAGGCAGAGTGGGGGAGGAGTTAGCCATGAGGAGACCCAGGCGGTGCTGGAAAAAAGGTATTTAAAATAAAGTATTTTTAGGCCGAGGACCTAAACGACTATTTTAAACCTATAGTGTCAGGAATATACATTTGTATTGTTCTTTTGAGGTGGCTTGTAGTTTTTAACATCTGGTTTGTAATTTAAGACTCAATATTTGGAGGCCTGCATACCTCATACAAACACATTGCCACAATTCACACACACACCATTTCTCATACTTCCATGCTAAACAAACACACATATAAATACTAACCTATTTAAAAAAAGCAAAAAAAGTATTTAAATATACTCTGAATCCACATATCCTGACAATACACACAGACATACATACACCACTTACACTAGCGCTCACATTAAAGATACACACAGAAACATACATTAAATTTACATACACATACAATCAAATACATGGTACATCTACACCAGCATATATATTGGTCTGCAGGGGGCCCAGGTCCTAATTTTGTCTGTGCAGCCCGTGCCCCTGCTCAGGGAGCTCGTCTGCCATCTTGAGTGTGTCTGCCCGGTGCCCCATGCGGCCGGTGTCAGTTGTCTGAGTGTAGCTTGAGTATATGCAGCTAGCCAGGGGGGACTGGGATAACCGCAGCTGGTTCATAGGGGAAAGGGGACAGCTCTAATCGAGTTTCTCACCACCAGTCAAAGAAGTAGAAGAGCGTCCGCCTCTCCTCCACCCGGTCATTGGTAGGCCACAAAGCCTCGAGGCAGGGTTTCCAGTGGTGGAGAAGCCCATGAGAAGTATCCCCAGCACCACCAGTGTTTCAGGAACAAGCGTAGTCGTGCTCTGCCTACAGGTAAGTTTTTGACTCGGTCTGCTCAGTAGCTAGGCTCCACCCCCCTCCCCCTTATTTTTTATTGTATTTTATAAGTTCAACAGAAATTATGGATTTTTATTTGGACTTTTTGGGGCTGACTAAAAGTTTTAAGAAAAAATTAGACATCTAATGGTTAGTACAAATTAAAAATTTTTTTTACAGGTATTTAGGTTTATTGCTTCCTCCCTCACTATTTTTAGGGTGAGGGGCTGGGTAGGCTTTTAGAAACATAGAGCTCTCTCCTGCTGCTCATTTAATTTTATTTGAGTGGGGTGACTAGAAGCTAGGGGAACCGTCACCTTGAGGGGTATTTTTACGACAATAGGTCCTCCCCCCTTTTGTCATAAAGGCTGCTGCTCATGTGTGGCGTCCGTGGGCTGACAATAGGTCCTCCCCCCACCCTATTGCCACTAGTGCTCTCTCCTGCCGCTCATGGGTAGAGGGGAGGGGGGCAGTAGGTCCCCCATTTAGTTTAATGGCTCTCACTCTCGTTGCGCAAGTGGGGACTTGGGGGGACACTATGTCCCCTTCGTTTATTATTGTTATAGGTGCCCCACTAAGGGGCACTTTATTAGAGGTGTGGGGGGGTCTTTTTTTTACAATAGTGAGCAGCCACTGGCTTGTGGTATAGCTTGTAGGGGCAGAAGGGAGATTTTAATCTCCCTTAATTACTAATACTAAGTAAACTTTACTTAGTATTAGTAAATTGGGCTGAAAGACACATTTTTTACTAAGAGGCTGCAAGATGCAGTCGTGGGACAAATAGGATCAGAATTTAATTTATTCAAATGATATTTCCAACCGAACAAAAAGTTTGCGTCCTAACACGAATGGACATACTGTTCTCTGTTGTTTTGCCGGTGTTCGAACGGCAAATGTAGAAGCAGGAGGAGAGGTGAATATTGTGGAAAAATCTCTATGACCACAGGAAATGAAGCGAACTTAGCGCCTCCTCTGGGTCAAATTTAGAAAATTGGGCAGACTAGATGGGCCGAATGGTTCTTATCTGCCGTCACATTCTATGTTTCTATGTTTCTAAGATGGTCATCTACTTTGTCGTATGTTTTAAAGAAAACTAGATCAGTTGTATTCACCTAATTTTAAGACCTGTTAAGGAACAGATGATTGTTGTTTTGTCCTGATATGTAAAACCAAAGAATTGATCATCAAACAAATGCAACATATGTAAATTGTATATGTGAGTGTTACATTCTATAATGTGAACTTTAACCTTCTGTAAAAGAGCAGAGCCCTTGTTGTCATTTATGCAACTGGCTTGTTCCTCTGTAAAATGTCACAAATTTTGAATGTAAATTTCTAATCAGTTTAACCAGACTGACCTTTGACTTTGTAAATAAGAGATGTTTAATATAGTTAATGGGTTTATACATTACGTTTTAAACAAACAAGTGCTCAACCGCATATATTAAAATACACCAAGAATGACCTTTTATCATGCTTCATCCTCTCAACAGCCTCCTTCATTTGTGACACATCATGGTCCTGGGGCATATTTTGTTTTGTTTTAACACTGCACTGCCACTCTGAGTAGGATAATAACTTTCATGAAAATGACAATAATACCTACCTCTCTCCCCTGATCTCTCTACTATTTTTCTGTATTATGTCATCAAACACTACCAGTACGTGTATTTAGAGGGTGACCTGCTTCCTGAAACTTGATCTGAGCTTTTTGTGTTTGCAAGCACGAACCATTCCTTCAAATAAGGGATGATTCCATCAATACTATATTTTGGGCTTGCTTTCTTGGTGTCATTTTTGACTCTGAGTATCTGTTCAATACCCACTTCAACATTCCACTCAGTCTCAAAATTATGCTGCTCTTATCTTCAAAATGAAGGTTTGTCAACCCTTAAATTGGCTTATCATACCATTTAGATTTAAAATCATTTGTTAACCTACAAAGCACTTTATAATTTAATCACAGTCTAGAAATCTCAATATTGACCAATTTATCAGCATATAACTTTGCAAGGGAAAGGCTCAGTACTCATACTATGCCCAGCTGCCTGAGATGAGCTACACCTCTCTGCCAGTTTTGTGAATGGGGAGTCAATGATTGGCTGAGAATGTCAGCTGACTGCTCTCAGCCAATCAGTGAGCCCCTGCCTGGCGGCATTTCACGCTTCCTGTAAGTGAAATTACAGAAGCAGGAAGCCGCCAGGGGGGAGCTGAGACCGGTGCTGGAGGCAACTTTATGGTTAAATCGTTCGAAAACGGTTGTGGTTTGACCCACATTTTGAAGCCCACACCCACAGTTTAGAAGATATACTATACAAGTGTTATTATAGTTAAACCTGTGTTTAACTCCGTTAGTTAATTTATTAGCAAACGACTTTAACTGCATGTCCCTTTATTGAAATAATCTCTTATTTAAACAAAAAAAAAAAAATTGCTTGGAAAACCACGAACGATAGAAGTACATATTTATATTCTTACGTGCTCCCAACTTGCGCCATTACCGTCCATAATGAATGCGGCGGCGAGGCTCATCTTCCTGTCCGCCCAAACCTCCCATGCCTCACCCTTCTATCAGTCCCTACATTGGCTTCCTGGAAGATATAGGGCTCAATTTAAAATTCTGGTTCTTGCTTTCAAATCTCTACATAATGCTTCTCTCACCTATCTATCCTCCCTAATATACAAGTATGTCCCATCTAGGCCTTTACGCTCTGCTGAAGACTTACTTCTATCTTCTGTCTGTACTCCCACCTCTGATGCTCGCCTTCAAGACTTCTCGAGGGCTGCACCGTTCCTGTGGAACTCACTTCCCTCCTCCGTTAGATGCTCACCCAGTTTCCACTCCTTCAAAAAGTCATTAAAAAACCCACTACTTCATAAAAGCGTATCAATTAAACTGTTAATAGCTCCCGACTGATTCCTCTCTATTTTATGATTTTCAAAAATTACATTGTCTTAATTATCAGCCTAATAAAGAGATTAATATAGTAAGAAACATATGAAAACAAATGGTAGTAAGTGAATTATAAAGTTTGTAAAGCCATCTCCTTTAGAGACTATATATATATATATATATATATATATAGATAGATAGATAGATATATAGTCCCTGAAGGAGATGACTTTACAACCTTTAATAAATATCAAATAAACTTATAGTCACATAACTTAAATTAAATGGAATACAATCCATATAAAAACACAGCCAGGACACTGCTTCTTCTTAATTAATTCGTTTTGGTGCCATTTCAGAGAATCAGCAATGTTTATATCTGTCCATAAACATGCTAGTCAGACATCCAGTCACTAGAGGAACTTTCTTATTTTTTAGCTAATGAAAGTCTTCACACTCGCATCGTCATGCACAGCATGATGTCACCAAATGCTATGAATGCTCCTTGCAGAAAAGCACTTTATTCAGTCTTCTCTATCAGAGGCATTTTATTGGCTGAGTGCAGAAACTGCAGAAATGTCTACTAGAAAAATTGGGTTGGATATACAAACAAATAATTTCAGAAGAGGAGGAGTGACTGCTGGGCTGGGAGGCTGGGTTACTAGTGAGTAAATATCTGCCTAAATAGAAACCGAAAAAGCTGCTGAAAAAACAGAAGCCTACATACAAAATGATTGGCTTGGTGAACAGAAATTACATCTTGGCTTGTAGGTTTTTCAGAATATACAATTTTGTCAAATATTTCTATTCTATAGATTTTATCTCCAAAGTAAAATAAAATTGACAATAAAAATATAAAAATAGCACTTTATTATACAGAAATAGCTGAATTCAACTAATATCTTTAACAATATTAAGAAGAAATATTCTGTGGTGTCAGATATATATTACAGTCTTGTTATTTTAGTAAACTGTGATGTGTCCATTTAACATTCTGGTGTTTGTTCATTAAACTCTTTGTTGAAGTGAATTATAATCTGAATTGTAAAATGTAATCCACCATAACAAAGCTGTGGCTGTAGATAATCTGTAAATATTTTTTAAGATCAGTATAAATTTTGCCGTTTGGATTTCAATTCACTACAATTCAATGTTTATTGAGAATAAACCCCCTTGCATTCCAGTGTAAAAAGTGCAACTGTTTGATACATTTTAATACCCTAATACATTTTATTAGGGTGATTTTTTATTTTTATAAAACATGACCCTTTAGTGAGTACTTAGTCATAAAAAACATTTTTGTATCTACACAAAACACAAACCATCACATAAAATATACCATCTTTTTTTCCCCAGTAATAGCCTTGTGTATATATACACAAGAAGAGATCTAAAATGGGGGCTTGATGTACAAATTAATCTTGCATCAGAATATGACTGAGTACACCTTTTGCAGATGCCCATGATTGTTTTAAGATTAAAAATTGTATAAAGAAATTTAAATAACACTGAAACAGCATGTGAGCTCTTTTACTGCAGAGCAATTCGGTATATTGACTTAAAATACTTTAAAGATACCCACAAGCTCAGTGCAGACAAGACACCTTAGTCACAACAAAAAAACCATCAAACATTTTTAGAGCCAGAATAGCTGCCACCTCAATCACATTTCAACAGAAGATCAGTAATAAATAAACATAAGACAAATAACAGTAACATTTAATCAATTATCTCTCATAATGTTTTCTACGTGAGTTCTTAATGCTACATGCACCATGGAGTCTAGATTAATAACTGACAAAGGGATTTGTAGCAAATCTTGGGAGCTGTGTATAAAAATCAATTGGCAACATTAAAAATATAAACATCTAAATACTTTCTATTTCAAACACAATTCACTGTTTGGTTGATAAACAATATTTACAAACACTATCTCCTACTTACTACGGCACCTGGTGGCATTGCCATGCCTGGGCTTGCACGCATTTGAGGCTGCAATCTTTAGTGACCAGGGATCAAGGAGACTGTTTGCTCCCATAAGTAAATTAAAGTAGTTGAGTGTCAAAAAGGTGTGCAGAAATAACAGGTTTAACACACTAACTGTTCTACAATTTGTGTGATAATGGTTAATTTTTTCACTGCCATTTTATGACAGTGAAAAGACATTAGTCAGTTGACATTTCGAAGTCCCAGACCATTAAGGATAATTACAGCTTTGGCGCTCCAGTGTGA